AGTGAGTTGTGTGAGTGTCGTCTTCGGTAGTGTGGCCTTGCTGTCAATTTGGAGAGAGCAACCTAGTCTCATGGCAACAGATGGAGCTGTTTGGGGTTTCCACTAGGCCTTTTCAGCCAACTACTCAGTTGGATGAAACACAGTCCTTAGACTGGAAACTCCATTTGGTGACAGGAAATGACCAGATGCAGTTCTGTCTTCAATATCATTTGGAGACTTCACTAGGTTCATCTTCATATATTATAGAAAGCTTAAACTACACTAAGTTTATATATGTCCACTCAAATGCCTTTCAGTTCTAGCTGTCTTTGCCCTCATTCCCTCCTTCAATCCCATCTTCCCTCCTGTTTTCCACCTGATCTTTCGGTTCTAATACCTCCACATCCCTCCTCTAAAATAGACCCAGAAAGATCTATTCTATTTCTCAAATTCAGGGATAGTCACATGTTGCCCCCTCCACTTCCTTCTTCTTTACCTAACCTCTGTGGATCCATGTACTGTAACATGGTAATCATTTATTCAATGGCTAATATCTAGATTTAAGCAAAGATATGCCATATTTATTTACCTGGGTTTGGATTTATTCACTCAATATAACTTTTCTAGTTTCCTCCATTCACCTAAAAATTTCATGATGTCATTTTTTAAAAGAGTTGAGTATTACTCCTTTGTGCAAAAGTACCACATTTTCTTCATTCACTCTTCCAATTGAGAAATACCAAGCTGTTTCCAGTTTCTGATTATTATGACTTGAGCAAGTGTCCCTGTATTTGGGTATATGAACAGGAATGATATAGCTGAGTTTAAAGCAGGTAATTCTCATCATTCTGAGGAAACTCCATACTAATGTCCATAGAAGCTGTACAGACAGCAATGGAGAAGTGTTTCCCTTGCTCTACATCCTCAACAGCATGAGCAGTTATTGGTAATATTCATCTTAGCCATTTTTGACAGGCATAAAATAGGATCTCAAAGTAATTTTGATTTGCATTTCTCCAATGGCTAAGGATGTGTAACTTTTCTTTAGGTATTTTTCAGCCATTTCTGTTTCCTCTATTGAGCCTTCTCTGTGGCAGGAATGTTCAACTATGTTTTCAAATACTGATTTCAGTGCCTTGAGATCTGGTTACCAGCCTGCCACAGGCATTGTTATAAATTTGAATTATCTCCTTTAACCATGTGATGATAAGGATTGTTCCCCAATTATGCCTGATTGGATAAGTAAAGATACTCAAGCCTATGTCTGGGTGGTAAAGAAGTAGGTGGAGTTTTAGGTTTCTGGGCTTGGATTTTAGATAGGAGAGGAGAAAAAAGAAAAGGCAGAAGGAGAGAGGAAGCTGGAGGGAAAGGGGTTGCCATAAGGCAAGATGGCAATGAGCATGTGCCTGTAAGGACAGACTGATGGAGCTGAAGTCTCCTGGAAGTCATCAGATTGACAAGTGATTGGCTTTTATGTGGGTTTTAACGTTACTAGGATTGGAATAGTGCAGAATCTGCCCAGCATAGTGCTCACAGCTTAATATAAATTATCTCTCTATGTCAGTCATTGGGGAACTAGTTGGTTTATGAAAACTGCTGTTGACATAATTTTCTGCGTTAATTATTATGGAAAGAATAACTTATATATCTCCACTTCTCTCTTTAGAAGTGTACCCCATTATTAATTGGGTTATTTGGCTACTTGACAACATATTGTTGAGTTATCTATATATTTTGGATATTATCCCTTTTTCTCATTTAGATTGGTAAAAATCTTTTCCCACTTTGTGGGCTGCAGCTTATGATCTCTTTCTTGTTAATTTGCATTGCTTTCCTAATACCCACATATTTTCATGATGGATTTGGGGAAAGGGGACTATAAACATACAAATGCATTAGCACGAATGTTCTCCACTTGAGAACGGATACCGAAAAACAAGATTTTGAAGACACATACAGCTCTAAACAGCTTATTTGGCCTTCCTGACTGCACAGCAAACTTCATGATTGAGGGGTTATTTAATAACATTCCAACAGTGCTTTCTCTCTATCAAGTGACATGTGCTCCAGATTCACAGTTCTTCCCACCACCACCATGCACACCCAGACTCAGTCTCTGCCCTCTGAGAAGCTTTAAGAAGGTGAGACCAGCAGCCTGTGTGTGCTGCACACCTTAAATCTCAGCACCGGGGAGGAAGAAGCAGGTGGGGCCCTGTGGTTTTGAGGCCAAACTGGTCAACATAGTTCCAGGCCAACCAGAGCTTCTTAGTGTGATGCTATCTCTCAGATAGATAGGTAGATAGATAGATAGATAGATAGATAGATAGATAGATAGATAGATAGATAGATAGACAGATGATAGATAGATAGATAGATAGATAGATACATACATACATACATACATACATACATACATACATACATACATACATACATACATAGACAGATAAAGTGGGACCACTTGCTGAGACCTCAGAGTTTCTCTCTTCTCACAGCTGTCACAAAAGGCCTAACTGCCCCTCTGTCTCTGCTGCCAGTGATCATAGACATGAAACATAGGCCACTTTTTAACTATTTTGTCTCCTGAAGTGAGATGTCCAACTCCCTCTGAAACCTTTAAGAATAGACTTCATTCTTTATTAGGGTGTACTGACAGCTCTCTCTTCAGAACCTTGCCATGCTCTCTGTGGCATTGATAATTCTGCTTATGAAACTCTCACCTAAAGAACAGTCAGAGGATCTCTCAAACACCTAGAAGTCTTTAAAATCAAACAAACTAACGCGCGCGCGCGCACACGCACACACACACACACACACACACATACACACACAATTTTGTTTTAAAATGTTTATTTTGTTTTAAAGAGGAAACACATGAAGTTAGGTGGATAGGATCTGGGAGGAGCTGGGAGAGTGGAAAGCATATATCAAAATTATTGTCTGCAATTGTCAAAAATGAGCAAAATATTTTAAATGTTTGAAAATTATTTATAAAAATAAAAGAGGGGAGAAAAGAGGACAGGAGGAAAGGGGGAAGAAGAGGGAGAAGGACTTCAGGGATCGAGGCCTTTAGCATATTGTCAGGACCCAGAAAAGCAAGGCGTCATAGTAACTTCCTTCTCAGAAAGGTTGCCAGCACTGGGGAAAGCTGGTTCACTAACTGGGAGCTTTCTAGGATGTAAATCACTTTTTCTATAATCACAAAATAGCTCCATGATATGAAATTTTGAAAACAGAAGCATATTTAGCAGGGCTTTTATCTCCCCTAACATAATATTTTTATTGAATATTTGGGAATTTCATATAATGAGTTCAGATAATGAATTCAGATTATACTCACTTTCCAGGTCTCCCAGGTTTGCCCTTCCTCCTGAAAATAAATTTAAAAAAAGAGAGAAAAAAAGTAAAAGGTCCAATTTGTCTTATTCATATAGTCACTGGAATATGGAGAATGGTAAAAACTGCCAGGGTACAGCCCCTTAAAGAAAAGGAGGCCCTTCCCCAGCCCTACCAGAAGCTATCAACTGTGGAGAGCTACATGTTAGCATCTTTATCAAGTTATTTTAAGACTTCTCTTTATTGCTTCCTATCTAAGTTGCTACTTTTTTTTTCCTGAGGGTTGTCACTGAGACTTCCTTGTCTCTCCTTCTCAACTATGAGCCTGCTGTTGATTCATCTCAAAAAAGCTGTTTCTGTTTCTTTAAAGCCAGTGATTATATTACCTAGAGCCCCTGCTCAGATGTAGCCAATGGCAGCTCAGTATCCAAGTGGGTACCCTAGTAAGGGGAATAGGGACTGTCTCTGACATGAACTCAGTGGCTGGCTCTTTGGCCACCTGACTCTGAGGGAAGAGCATCCTTGTAAGGCCACAGAGAAGGACATTGCAGCCAGTCCTGATGAGACCTGATAAGCTAGGGTCAGTTGGAAGGGGAGGAGAACCTCTAACAATGGATGTAGAGAGGGGAAGGGAGGAGAAGAGGGAGGGAGGATTGGATTGGGAGAGAATGAGGGAAGGGACACAGCTGGGATAAAAAGTAAATAAATTGTAATTAATATTAACAAATGAATAAACAAAAAATAATGGCCTAGCAATAATTAATTAACTAATTAATTAAGCTAGTGGAAGCATGGATCATAGACTTCCACATGGTTTATGATGAGAGAATAGACCACAGAAATCCCCAAGGGCGCCAGTGTCAGCATGTGCCAAGGACCAAAACATGGTCTCTGGTGGCAGGACAGGCTATGGGGTTCAACAGAACTTTCTGTTACAGCATGGGCCATCATATCTCTTGGTAGAGGCGCAGGCCATGGACAACACCATGTCCTCTGGAAACAACAGGGATCGTGGACACCAATATGGTCTCTGGTGTCAGCTCCATCAATGGACATCAATATGACATCAGGACACAGCATAGACAAGGGGCATTCACATAGTCCTCAGCGGTTCATTGATAAGGCCCCAGGCTGGAGCAGGATCACACACCCCAAGATGGCCATTGGCAGCAGCACAGCCCACAGCCATCAACATGGCCTCAGGTGGCAACACAGACAATCACATCTACATGCCCCCAGAAACAGCACGGCTCACAGATATCAACATGGCCTCTGGCTGCACAGGGCCACAGTTCCAAACATTTAACCAGTCATTTTAAACCACGTTGGGTGTGAGTTTCTGGCAACACAGTGTCTGGTCCTAGGGGTGGAGGACTCAGCACCTGGACGTAGGTATGACTTGGGGAAACAGAGAGAGCACAGCACACCAGAAGGGGTATTAGGCAGGACACAGAGTAGATTGGGTAAAGGTGCCGAGGAGCACAAGACTATGTGATTGCTCTCATTACTTTCTAGTGATGAGGAAGGGGCAGGGCACAGAGCTAAGGCGGAGCCAAAAGGAAAGGTTCTAACAAAGCAGAAGAGAAAGGCTGTGGCAACACAGAGGAGGCTTGGTCTGCAAGGAATAGGGTAGAACAAAGCACTGTGAGTACTGTCAGCAGACTGGCCCAGCTCAGACCCTCACCATGACTAATGCAGACGGTTCCCTGATGGCTGATATCTGGGCAAGAATCCATCCTGGGACTGTGCTGCTGGCTTCTGTCACCTTCCTGCTCCTGGCTGACTACCTCAAAAGCAGGCGTCCCAAGAACTACCCTCCAGGGCCCTGGCGCCTGCCCTTCGTGGGCAACTTGTTCCAGTTCAATTTAGAGTTGTCACATCTGCATTTGGACATCCAGCCGGTAAGAAATGGAGACGGTGTCTGGCTGTGCCATGACCCAGTCCCGAACTCTAGAAACAGATCCTGGTACTGAAACCTACAGGATCTGGTTGTAGGTTAATGCTGGCTGCCTGATAACCCACCCAGTTGAACTAGTGTCTAATTTGTGCCCTCATTTAAGAGACAGAATTTTTGATGCCAAAAAGTTTATTTTATTATCCTTTTATGAACTATTTCCACTGTTAGTTCATTATGGTCTTACAACACACTGTGAATGATTTCAATTGCTTTAAGCATGTCAAGTTTGATGCGTTAATTAATTGTTCATCTTGACAAAGAAGCCCTGTTGCTTCCAGAAATGTGTACGCAAGTTTTATGTGTTAAACACTCATGCAGGAAAGACAAAATGAAACTGTTCTCTTGATCAGAAATTTCTACAGTATCAGTTCTCTCCTAAACGTGCCTGTTTAGTGTTTCTACATCCTTGCTGACTGCTTGCTTACTGACTTTGTCAACTACAGAAAAAGGTACATGAAGTTACCAGCTCCACTTGGAGTTGTCCACTTGTCCTCATAAGTCTACCTCTGGTCGACCTACCTGGGTTTATATTTGGTTGGTTTTGTTATAGTTTTTGGTTGGTTTTGTTATAGTGTGTGTGTGTGTGTGTGTGTGTGTGTGTGTGTGTGTGTCTTTGGTACGTACTCATTTAAAATCAGCAGATGTTTTAGTACAATAACCATCATCCTTCCTAATTACTTTTTAACTGTAGTAATTTTCTGAGCCCTGTGTAGTGAAAAAATATAGTTGGGCCATTTTTTTAAACTATCATTTCTACTTGTTGGTCCATAATTTATTATACTTATCTCTTACCATTATATGGGGAAAGTATGCAATTTTGTATACTTATACATGGAATTTTTCACTCCTTAATTTAATTACTTTATCAACATATATATGTTTTATATATATATATATATATATATATATATATATATATATATATATATATATATATATATATACTCTTCCATTATTGTTTCCCTGAGTAGTTTTTAGACACTTCTGAGTAACTTTTTATTCACCATCACTCTTTCATTATAATTTTTATCCTCCTCCCAGAAGCTGCTCTGTTTTCATATATACACATACAATTTATGAGACTTTGCATTTTCCAAGAGAAGAAAATCAACTACAAACATGGAGGACCCCTGTCTCTCTTCTATGAAACAGCCTTCTCAGGTGTTGTCCCCACTCACACTGAGAACCATGTCTGACACTAACCTGCTCTTCAGTGTCTTGTGCAGCTGTAACTTAAAGGCAGAAGAGTCTGAGGCCTTTGCTCCTTATTTATCCCCTCTTAGCTCTTCTTTCTTCTGACCCTTCAGGATCATAGTTTCCTTTCTGAACTCAAGCACATTCCTTCTCCATTCGTTCAGAGAAGGCTGCAGCACAAGGAAACTTCTTATTTTTGCCCCACCTCAGAATGCCTTCTCCTCCATTTCAACACTGCTTTTCCCAATTGTAGGACACTAGGTTGATAATCTCTGGTCCTTAATGTTTGTAGATATTATCCCACTTGGTTCTATGCATTCTGATTTCCGCCTAAGTGGTAAATTATCTTTTCTCTGGTTTCAAGAGACTTTCTGGTTTTAGTTTCCATGTTGATGGTGGTGATTTTGTTTAGTAAAGTTTGTGGCTTCATGCTGTTGAGTTCTTTATGGCAGGTTTGTATTTTGCCAGACTAAAAAGGTGCTATCATTCTTTAATTATTTTCTAACCTGCACTTTCTACTTCTTGTTTTTGTAAATGGCTGGATTCTAAGGCACAGCCATGGCATCTCTGATTCTGGTTCTTGCCAGTTGAGATCTGCTTTGTTTATGTTGTGCAGAGTGGAGCTTCTTCTCTCCTCTGTATAGCTCATGGTCATTCTCACATTACTTCTCTGTTGAGTTTTTCTGTAAAAATCTCCACTTAGGTCATTGCACCTTTCTGTCCTCCAAATTCCCTTTGCTGGCCCTCCCCAACTTTTATTTTTTGCTGAGACTACTGAACATTTAAAAATAAATTATGGTTGCTTAATAAGCTTTCATCATGCATAACTCCAAAGTTTATCATCTGAATAGGCTTGAGATGTTCTTGTTTTGAGGCAATTTAACTTGCATAGGTAGATTCTTGAGGATCTGAACACATATTTTTTCCTGAGTAGGGATTCAAGAGTAAAGTTAGGCTGTAGAAAGTCGATAGTATGAATCTTGGTGACCTTACCAAATGTGATCCCCACTCCCACACGAATTCACCTGACAATGTCATCAGCACAGTCTTCTGAGAATGAGGACAGCTACACACCATAAAAGTCCATCAGAATATTGGGCCACCCAAGTCAGAGATGTCTTCCTTCCTCTGTCCTATGAGGAAGAGACACCTTTGTTACCATAAGAGAAAGTAGAAGATTAGAGTCCCAGTCTGACCTCATTTTTAGACTGTCTTTGTCACAGAACAGCTGTGAAGCTAATTGTTCTGCTCATGAACTCAACCCAGGTGTGATGCCAAGGCAGAGTGAGTGATAGAGCTCCACTTATGAACCCAACTACTGCACTCCATTGAACGTTTGGAGAAGTCCATGTTGTTCATGGTGGTTAACTCAAAGACATATAGTCAAGAAGGCAGACATCTTGTCCTGCTGGTCTGCACTTTTCTTGGTTTTTGGCTAAAGACTGCAAGGTCTGTTTGGAGTTTACCCTCTGTTCAGTGCTGTTGTAATTAGCGTGATTAAGAAATTGTTTTTCATGGCGTCAAAGTTACTAAAAATATTGATGTTTATCTTTCTTTTGCAAATATATTGGATGTGTCATCAAGGTTTAGGTGAAAGGCGTAATGTCACAATAGTTCAGTATAAAACTGAGACTGGTTCTTCTTCCCAGGAGATTGAATATTCATCCCTTTATTTTATACTATTTATTAGTTTACATTTTAATATTTCTGGACTGCTCTTTTCTAGTTCCATCCATCTGCCTATAAATTCCATGATTTCCTTGTGTTTTTTTTTTGTTTTGTTTTTTATTTATTTCTTAAAATTTATTTTTTATTTCAATTTTTATTAATTACACTTTATTCACTTTGTATCCCCCCATGAACCCCACCCTCTTCCCCTCCTAAACACATCTTATCTCTCTCTTCTCCACATATGCCCCTCCCCAAGGCTGCTGATAGGGGAGGACTTCCTCTCCTTCCTTCTAATCCTAGTCTATCAGATCTCATCAGGAGTGGCTTCATTGTCATCTTCTGTTACCTGATAAGACTGCTCTTCCCTCAGAGGGAGGTGATCAAAGAGCAGGCCATTTAGTTCATGTCAGAGGCAGTCCCTCTTCCCATTAGTATGGAACCCACTTGGACTCTGAACTGCCATGGGCTACATCTGTGCAGGGGTTCTAGGTTATCTCCATTCATGGTACTTGGTTGGAGTATGAGTCTCTGGAAAGACCCTTGTGTTCAAATATTTTTGGTTCTGTTGCTCTCTTTATGGAGCTCCTGTCCTCTCCAGATCTTACTATTTCCCACTTCTTTCCTAAGATTTCATGCATGCTGCCCAACAGTTGGCCATAATTCTCAGCTTCTGTTTTGATAGTCTGCAGGGCAGAGACTTTTACAGGCCCTCAGTGGCAGGTTCCTAATTTGTTTCCTGTTTTCTTCTTCTTCTGATGTCCATCCTCTTTGACTTTTTGGATGGGGATTGAACATTTTAGCCACAGTCCTCCCCCTAGATTACATTCTTTAGGTGTACAGATTTTAGTAGGTTTATCCTATATTATATGTTTATATGAGTGAGTATATACCGTGTGTGTCTTTGTACTTCTGGTATAGCTCACTCAGGATGCTCCTTTCCACTTCCTACAGTTTACCTGCAAATTTCATGATTTCCTTCTTTTTCATTGCTGAGAAATATTCCATTGTGTACATGTACCACAATTTCTGTATCCACTCCTCAGTTGAGGGGCATCTGGGCTGTTTCCAGCTTCTGGCTATTACAAATAAAGCTGCTACAAACATGGTTGAGCAAATGTCCTTATTGTGTACTTGAGCCTCTTTTGGATATATGCTTAGGAGTGGTATAGCTGGATCTTGAGGAAGTGCTATTTCTAGTTGTCTGAGAAAGCACCAGATTGATTTCCAGAGTGGTTGTACAAGTTTACATTCCTACCAATAGTGGAGGAGGGGTCCCCTTTCTCCACAACCTCTCCAGCATGTGTTGTCACTTGAGTTTTTGATTTTGGCCATTCTGGTGGGTGTAAGGTGAAATCTCAGGGTCATTTTTATTTGCATTTCCCTGATGGCTAATGAGGCTGAGCATTGTTTTAAGTGTTTCTCTTCCAGTTGATATTCCTCTATGGAGAATTCTCTGTTTAGCTCTCTTCCCCATTTTTTAATTGAATTACTTGATTTGTTGCTTTTCAGCTTTTTTAGTTCTTTATATATACTGGATATTAGCCCTCTGTCAGATATCGGGTTTGTGAAGATTCTTTCCCAATCTGTAGGCATTCCTTTTGTTTTGATGACAGTGTCCCTTGCTTTACAGAAGCTTTTCAGTTTCATGACGTCCCATTTATTGATTGTTGCTCTTAGAGCCTGTGCTGTTGGTGTTCTGTTCAGGAAGTTGTCTCCTGTGCCAATGAGTTCAAGGGTATTCCCCACTTTTTTTTTTTCTAACCGATTTAATGTGTCTGGTTTTATGTTAAGGTCTTTGATTCATCCACTTGGACTTTAGCTTTGTGCAGGGTGATAAGTATGGATCTATTTGCAGTTTTCTTCATGTAGACCAGCACCATTTGTTGAAGATGCTATCTTTTCTCCAATGTATGGTTTTGGCATCTTTGTCAAAGATCAGGTGTCCATAAGTGTGTTGGTTTCTTTTTGGGTCCTCTGTTCAGTTCCATTGATCCACCATTCTGTTTCTATGCCAGTACCATTCTGTTTCTATGCCAGTACCATGCAGTTTTTATTACTGTTGCTCTATAGTGCAGCTTG